CATTTTCTCACGGCTTGACACTTACTTGGCAGTTCAGGTGCCAACGGTCCTCAGTATTGCAACTAAACTGGACGTTTTCATCATGTTTTTGCAATGTTAATTCTGCATCTATTTGAATATCATTCCATAGCAGAATGTCAGCTGATTTAGTGAAAACAAATATTTGTTGTGCTGTGTTCAACTCTCAATTCTTAGTTAATCTCTTTGTGGGAAATCTCAAGTTACTTTAGGAAAAAATAGCATGCTACCAAATTCTAAATTCACAAATTGGCAGGTTTGGTGGAAAGAAAAAAAAAATATCTAAAATTTTATCCATTCAACTCACCTCCTGCAAAAGTTGTGTATCAAGAAGCTGATGATAGGCTTGGGAGGATTCATCATTGCGATCAAGCTTCTGAAGGTCCAAGGCTTTATGATAAAGTGAAAATGCTTCTGCTTCCTAAAAACATAAAATGACTGCTTCATGATCAAATGTAATAAGCACACGCCTCATTTGTTGAGCAGGAGATAAACTGCTGATGGGACCTCTTATGATTTACTGTTTACTCTACTTATTTCCTATTCCATAAATTTCTCCCCCTAGTTCTAACCTAGTTTGTTACATTCAACCATATTTTTTTTTTTTTATGATGACATGTTACACTTAGTTAACTGTGCTTTTATGTTGTTACAGAGAATGAGTTTTACTGACCTCCCCCTATTGTTTTAGTATTTTACTGTAAATCTTGAATAATCATTCCATTAAAAATAGAAATAAAATCACCTGAGCCTCCTTTGTCTGTGTTTTGGTGCTTCTGAAAGTTTCTTCATGCTCGCCCCCCACAGTAGAGGTTGCATTTAAAGCTGCAATTCGAATCTAATGACAAACAGACAGAATATGAGCATTCTAAAATGTATTTATTTATTTGAAAGGGTTTTATTTTATTTTTTATTATTTACCATGTTTGTTTATTCTGGATTATCAGCCATTACACAGAGGGATATTTATCCAAACTAAAAGGAAGAAAAAAAAATGAAGTATGAAAAAAGTACTCGCTTGTAAATGGTAAACAAAAACGTTTAGAACAGGGGTGCCCAAACGGTTGACCCACAAATGGTTTAAATCTACAAATTCCATGATGCCTTGTCATTCTAAAAGCATGCAAAAACATACAAAGCATCATAGGAGTTGTAGTTCTGAAACATCTTGGGATCTACCTGTTGTCTACCCCTGGTTTAGAACATTACTGGTTCAAATGCAGAATTATAATCTATTCAATTGGAGGTTTGTGCATCAAAACACACTTGTTTCTGTCACATTAAAATTTGTTGTGGTCTCTTGTTATTTTTTTCTCAGCTGTAGAATCTTACTGTACATGTAGGTAAATTTGAGAGAGAAAAAAAAAAAGTAAATCCATAGAACCTACATCAGTACCACAGATATAACTTAGAATTCACTACCAGTGGGCACAGACAACCAGCATATGGCCTGTTTTTTTGAGGCACTCCTTCCAGATTTAAGGAATTATTACTGTGCACTTTCCAACAAACTGTAAAGCATTGTTTGCTGCTGCAAATTTTTTGATCCATTATATTCTCCAACTTGTCGTCTTATCCCATCACTAAAGATGTTGAGAGAGCTTCCAGAAGCGACGTGAAACACATTCGGTTCTCAGTTTCATTTAGTTTGTTTTGGGGTTTTTTGCCCCATCCCTCTCCTTTTTTATGCCCAGTGCAGAGATGTGTTAACTACAACCCCTAACACTGCTGCTTAATATGGTGGGCATGCAATGTTCACAATATTCTAATATATCTGCACTACAAGGACACCCCAGATATTTCTTTCCTTTTTATTCCATTAAGTTCTTTTGAGTGTATCATCGCTATTTTTGTGAGAATGGTCAGAACTGGAGGAACATCGTTGCCGGCGCCAAGAACCTGGATATATTTACTGCTATGATGGGGTGAATAATTTGATACCTGCTGCTTTTGTGACATTTTGTATACTTATTTTCATTAGTTTTTATTAACAAATTTAATTTTTTTTTTCCTTATTTGTGGTAGCGGCACATACCTTTCCTTTATTTCACTAAACAAAAATCACTAATCTTTATATATGACCCTATGCAATGCAGAGTGTTTGCATAGGGTATTATATAACGAGAAGGACTATGCTTGTAGTACAGATTTATTACAATATTGTAGGTTTGTAGCTGCAATTTATTGGTCAAAAGTAGGTGGGTAAAGTGGCTAGGGAGCTGAATACTCCCATTCCCTTCCTCAAACCACACAAGGATAAAACAATGTGAATATTGACCTTACAAAGCTGACCGAAATGACAATCAGCTGCATAATCCTTAAGCACTACACGACAGTATGTAACAAGCATGACATGTTCCCAAGTGCGCTGCCTCCATTTTGCAGTGACTGCAGTTGCCCACCCAAGGACAATGTGTGACACAGCCATGCTGGCCTCAGGTAATGCCTGAGAGAGCCGGGCTCTAATCAGACTGGACATACTGCTCGGCTCGGGCACCAGATACTCTGTCTCTCTTAAACTAGTGGTGCTCTAAGTGCTGGCAGTCAATAAGGACGCATTACCGAGAGGAAACCGCAAAACTCACGTATGGTCGCCACGGCAACCGCCTCCAGCACCCATCTGTACAGTACCGGCCCACCAGCCAGTAACGAGGTGATCGGTAGGCTAGCAGCCAAACAGCTCTCGACCAATTGGAATTTAGTTCATTCGCAGCTTAGCCAATGGAAAAGCTTCCTGAGAGACACGGAAAAGCCTTGCACTAAGCTACATAGACATAGAGGTTACCATAGACATATATGTCTATGGTGGTTACTGACAGAGTGCAATGTCTCCATCTAGCGGCTACTTTGAGTAACCAAAAAAATGACAGGTTAAAATGCATACTCTACTCTAGATTAGAAAAGTTCTGTTGCTACAAATTTCTCAATGACAATATATATTTTGTATTTAGATAGTAGGCAGCATGGCTCAGTAAATGTATAATACTTAATATGGAGACTACGTGAGGAAATACAGCCAACAGTATATCTCACGGAGAGAGAAACAGCCAGAACTGGTGATAATGTCTGTCTCCCTCTAAGTCAACAACGCAATCATCAGCTCCACCACGGAGGCTCGCTGCCCTGGTGTTCTCTTTGACTCTGACCTCTCCCTCAAGCCTCGTGTTCAATCTATCGCCAAATCCTGAGGCTTCCAGCTCAAAAACATTGCGAGCATCCGCCCCTACTTAACGCCAGATGCGACTAAGGTGCTGGTCCATTCCACTGTCCCTTCTCATCTTGACTACTGTAATCCACTTCTCAGTGGTCTTACATGCTCCCAACTAGCGCCGTTACAGTCCATAATGAATGCAGCGGCGAGGCTCATCTTCCGGTCCGCCCGCACCTCCCACGCCTCACCCTTCTGTCAGTCCCTAGATTGGCTTCCTGTAAGATATAGGGCGCAATTTAAAATTCTGGTTCTTGCTTTCAAATCTCTACATAATGCTGCTCCCACCGATCTATCCTTCCTAATACACAAGTATGTCTCATCTAGGCCCTTACGCTCTGCTGAAGACTTACATCTATCTTCCGTCCGTACTCCCACCGCTCACCCAGTCTCCACTCCTTCAAAAAAATCAATAAAAACCCATTTCTTCATAAAATTTTATCAATTAAACTGTTAAGAGCTTCCAACGGATTCCTCTCTTGCAACTGTCATTAGTCTAATACTTTCTTTACCTTTTGTGTCCTTTACCCCACTCCCTCTAGCATGTAAGCTCATTGAGCAGGGCCCTCAACCCCTCTGTTCCTGTGTGTCCAACTTGTCTGGTTACAACTACATGTTTGTTCGTCCACCCCCTGTAAAGTGCTGCGGTATAAATAATATGTGATAAAGTGCAATGCAATACAATATACAGTGCAATACAATATAAAGTGCACTCAGTGTAATCGGTGCTACTTCACTAAAATACTTGCTTATACGTACATAATGTCTTCTCCAAATTTCATGAGCATATGTAAGGGAGAGACACAAAAAAAACAACAAATAATAGTGTAAATCTGTATAGAAACCAAATAATAATTTAAAAGAAATGAAGTGTTCACTCACAAAGGTAGAGCAGTAAAAGCCTGCTCTAACTATAACAGCCTCTTCAAATGCTCCCTCTTGGGAAAAAAAGATCACTCAGACGAGACGTTCCACTTCACACTTTTATTGCATAGACTCCAAACAGGTTCTCCTCCTTACACCGTGAATGCCCAAACATACTTCATCAGATGCGATGAAGCTGTAAACATGGCGAAAAGCGACATCACGCTATTCACGCATCACGCACTGAGCACCCTGGGCCTGGGTAACTCCTGCCCCCGGAAGTCTTTACGGACGACAACACTGACAGAACACTGAGGGACTTGTCGACATCCCAATTGTGTAAGGCTTAGTGTGTTTGGGCATTCACAGTGTAAGGAGGAAGGAGGAGAACCTGTTTGGAGTCTATGCAATAAAAGTGTGAAGTGGAACGTCTCGTCTGAACTACCTTTTTTTCCCAAGAGAGAACATTTGAAGAGGCTGTTATAAGTGTTTATTGGAGATTTACACAATTTGGTGCAGCTTTTTTATGTTTATATTTTCTTGGTATACAAAGCGATTGTTTTAAGACACTAATTACTAGCGCCAGTTTTTCACTTGTTTTGTGTATGTATGCTATATAAATAATAACATAATGCTGACATGGACACATTGTAACATTGTTCTGCATTGAGAAATATAATGTTTAATTATTCAGGGCAAAGAGCAATCATGGGATTTTGCAAACGACAGCACAATAACTGTAAAACAACAAACACATAGTTTGTATTGCTGTTTGCTATCTCGGTGTTTCAAGCTGTACATGTGTCATTGTGGTGAACGTTGATATTTCCTCTTTAACTTCAGTGCTCCATAACACTTTTTTCTATGAGAATTTTCTTTATATTTTGGACTCAAATTTACTATCTTGTGTCAAATCTTCTTTGCAATGCTCGCCTCATACAACCTCAGCATACTTGTTTTAACTTGTCCTGTTTTTAGTGTATGTGTGGCATTTACCACTCATACTATATTACAATAGCATTATCTATGAACCACTATGTGAGCAAATGAATCATTTTCTATACCTATAGCCTTAACTTGCCATACTTTGCTCACTAATGGTGCACTGGTCACAGTTGGTGAAAAGCTCTTTCACCTGCCCATGCAAAAGAGTATCCACCCTTTAGGCAAGCTCACTAGGTCATATTGTGTTCATTATTACAAGTGTATATTTGTACTTTACATATAAGATAAAATGTATTGTAATTAAACATAAGTAATTCATGTTCTATCAAAGCATATATCACTTGATGACTGAGGTGTAGATTCACTTTTTTTTCCTATTGTTACACAATGAATTTATCATAAGAAAGTCTCCCTCTTCCTATAACCAATGCTTATTCTTCACACTTAAAATCAATATCATTATTTGAAACAACTGTGTTTTCTACTAATCCTGCAGCTCATTGTGAATGGCTGGTTACAAAATTCACACAATATAAATGGGTTTCTTTAACCTCTGAATTATATCAAACCAAAATCTTAAGTGTCAAATTAAGGAAAAATCTTGACCTTGAAAATTCCTCCAATTCCATTATGGTCGCACTCTCACGATGTTTGATGTTTATTATTATTGGGGTATATCTAAAACCTGCAGATATCGTGTCTGCTGCCTTTGCAAACGCTCCCTTTCTAACCCTTGAAAAATTCCTCCAATTCCATTATGGTCGCACTCTCACGATGTTTGCTTCCATTTTGAACTTCAGATTTTAACCCAGTACATTTTGGAGTTTAATGAATTACATTTCATTGTTACTTGCGAAGCTCCAAAAGGATTCCTGTACTGCAGAGTTCTCAAATTGGAGCTGAAATTGCAAATTGTTTACAGATAAATTGTGAATTGAAATCCATGTTGCAAGATGGTGCTGATTTTGAAAAATGTTTCAACTCACCTATAGTCAGCTCATCATTTTACCCTAAACACTGCAGTTTATTACCAGATGCTGATACCATGCTACTAGAGGAGAATTAACTTCACCTTCTGTGACGAATGTTCATTATAGTTTTTAAGTTACGGCTTATATTCTTATGGGTTATGCAACTAAAAAAAACGTGCATGAAAACCCTCTTACAATAGATTACAATGGTGGTGAGAAAGGACTTGTCACAAGACTCACTTCCAAGCGTGAATTTCAAATTTAAGTCTAAAAGTAGAAAAAGTTAACTAAGCTTCCAGTTTGACTATTTTGGCCTAACATTTGAAAGTCACTTTGAGTACCTGACAAGGCAAATAACCCTTCCTATCTCTGATCCAGTTCTGCATCCACATGCTTCTGTGAACTGGAAACTGTGATAGAGCAACTCAGTTTTTCTTATTATGTAATCCCCTTCATTGTTAATGAGCTATTCTCTTTACTCATTTAATTCACCATAACAATGGTTGCTCCTTGTCTTGGTTATTGAGCAAGAAGCCCCCCTGTTTACTTTCTTCCTGTCACTAATAACTACAGCAATTTAAATTCTTAATGTGTGTTTTTTTTGTTTGTTTTTTTATAAATAAAAACACTTATACAAGGCATGTACACACCATATATGTCCAGCCTCTGCTGAAATAGCCTATCTTGTTGTCCCTATCTTATACAAAGCAATCAGGCAGTCTATTTAACAACAGGACCTAGTACTTTTCATGAAAATAAAATAAATGGAGTTACTAGCAACATTCTAACAGCCTACAGGGTATAGTGGGGGCGTGTGTAAATAAAATACTAATAGTAATAGAATAACTTTGAGCAGCAGCTTTAATTAATGTATATGAATGAATTTGTTAAATGGACCCTCCACTGCCCAAATGTAAAATAAAATCACTACTTAGTAGATATACCCCAAGTGAAAATATGCATTCATTTAATTGTAAATTATTATTGGGGTATATCTAAAACCTGCAGATATCGTGTCTGCTGCCTTTGCAAGCGCTCCCTTTCTAACCCCGTCCAGATTTTCTGTGGCTGTCCAATCACAGACTTCACAATGCAGCTTAATGAGAAGTCTTTACAAGGCATATTCTCTGGGCAATAATCTGCCTCTTGAGTTTAGATACAATGATCTAAAGAACTAAGAAGTAACAGGACCTTTTGTCCGCTTGAAACCAGGTTTATTTATAAAAAAAATAAAAAGTGTCAATTTCCATTTAACTCTGCACTTTTGTAAAATGAAAAAAAAAAACCCAAACAGACACTTTTCACATATAAAGTCTTTAGACAAGCTAAAGTGCTTTAGGGGTCTGGCGTGCCCCTTTATCTGAGCACCTCAACGTGCAAACAAAAAGGAGGAAAGGGTGTGATATATTCTGGCCTAGAGTGTCTTTTTCTCAGACATAGCCCACATCAAGAAAATATGTTTTTGTTTTTTTGCAATGCGGATTTTTACAAATATGCTGTAGTCGGTATTGGCAGAGCACCATTTTATTTCTTAAAGACAGCATGGAATGTGCATTATAAGTAAATATCCATCATTTGAGCCAGTTCTGTGTTAGAAGCAATCATTTACCAACATCTCAGACAGACAAAAGCAGACGCAGCATTTCCTGAATGGTCATTGGTCTTCCTCCATTACTTATTACAAATAGGTCATAACAGTTCCTTTGACGCCAATTTGCCAGGGTTCCACGGGAAGAAATCTTATTCGAATCCTGTAGGAGAAAGTGATAGAATTCAGAGATTATAAATTCTTGTACTTGATATAAAACAGTAGCTTTTCACTAATAAACATGATAAAACAGTAGGGAAATTAAACAAACATTCTTGGAGGAACATCTACTTTACAATAAAGTGAGTAAATTCCACTTTACTCTGCAACTTTAGTGGATACTCAAAATTCCCCTTTATCTGCTGGTGCCCTTTATTTGCTAGGTAGAATGGATGGGTGTCATCTGCAAGTTTAAACTATTTGTAAATATCTCATTAAGATAAACAACTCCAGAGACCTCCTGGCACCATTGCGATGAAGCGGTTATGGTGCCCAGAGTGGTCATTTTATATATATTCTGATGCTGAATGAAACTAGAATTATTTCCAAATCTGCTTTTTTTGTTCAGTTTAAGATCTGCATATTGCCTTGCTGTAGTACCTGTCTGGTTCTAAGCTCAGCTCTTTCGTCAGGAAATCAAACAACTTGGCACTGTGCTCCTTGTTCTGTTCTGCTGTCCCCAGCACTCCAATAGCAGAAACATTTAGCAGGACAAAGGGTGCAAATGATCCTCCCATCAACATGGTTAGTCCACTTCTTATGACGATAAGCACCCTCTGGGAACATAAACAGGTTAGTTTACAGAACAGGAAAATCAACACGGCATTTAATCAATCATTTACTGTAAAATGGGAATCACATGAACACGGAGACAAACATATCAAATGTACAACAGCCAATGTACATAAAAATATTTGTTTCAACAAATGAAAAGGAAACATTAATACAAATTACTTTACAACAAATTTTAAATTAGAATCTATTCTAGAATTGCAAATCAAATTCGGCATAACTATTTCCCACATGAGGACTCTTATCACCAGCCTTCTGTTATAATGGAAAATTTATTCATACTTACCGTAATTTTCTTTTCCTGGTCATATGCCATGGCAGCACAACATTGGGTAGCTCCTCCCTATCCCCATTGGACAGGAATAATTATTAAGCCGTATAAGTACCACCTCCTACCCCTCCTTCCCCAGTCATGTTTTCCAGCAATAGCCCCAGGTGGGACCCTTGTGCTGCCATGGCATATGACCAGGAAAAGAAAATTACGGTAAGTATGAATAAATTTTCCATTTTCCTGGCCATATCCATGGCAGCACAACATTGGGTAATACCCAAGCAATAAACCAGGGAGGGAAAGAGACACAGACTCCAAAAATTTTGAATGCAAAGTGAATTAACACCACAACAGGTGAAAAAATAGAAATCAGGTATCGGATACAGACAGAACTGATTTAGCAAATTGATCAGATATACCTGCTCTAACATCAATTTGGTAGCTTTTAATGAAAGTGTTAGAGGAAGACCATGTAGCTGCTTTACAAATGAGTTCAGGAGAAACATTAGCAGCAGCTGCCCAGGAAGATGAGAGCCCTCGTGGAATGGGCTTTAAGACCCACAGGGACCGGATATCCAGCAGATTGATAAGCCAGAATAATAGCTGCTACTATCCACCTGCTAATGGTAGATTTGGGAGCTTGTGAGCCCTTTTTACAGCCGCCATGAAGGACGAAAAGACTGTGAGAAGTACGCCAAGCAGAAGTCCTATTAATATATATCTGGAGGCATCTTACTAGATCCAGAGAAGATAGGTTAGTAGAATTCTCCATTTCTAGGGAGTCAGACCTCAGAGATGGAAGAACAATATCCTCGTTGATGTGAAAGGAGGAGGTGACTTTAGGTCGAAATTCGGGAACCGTACGGAGGACAACTCTGTCTTTGTGAAAGACCGTAAAAGGCTCTTTAATGGATAGAGCGTGGAGCTCAGAAACCCTCCTGCCGGAAGCTAGGGCAATCAGCAAAGCAGTCTTAATAGAGAGAGCATGAAGAGGAACTGCCTCAAACGGTTCAAAAGGTTCCAACTTTAAGGCATTCAAGACCAAAGGGAGATTCCAAGATGGAACAAATGGTTTAATAGGAGGTTTTATCTGAAGGACTCCTTTGATGAATCTGATGACATCCGCGTCCAGTGCCCATCGATGATTGGTTAGAGCGGACAAGGCTGAGACGTGCACCTTGAGAGTGTTATAGCTCAGCCCTTTAGCAAGCCCAGACTGCAGAAACTCCAAAATATTAGAGGAGGAAGGATCTTGAATATTAATGTTCCTGTGAAGGGCCCAGTCAGAGAAAACTTCCCACACTCTATAATAAGTGGCCGAAGTGGAATGCTTACGTGCCTTCAGCATAGTGCCTATAACGTCCTGGGAGAATCCTTTACTCAAAAGCCGGTTCCTTTCAGTCTCCAAGCCATGAGATTGAGAGAGACCGGATTTGGATGAAACACAGGACCTTGGAACAGAAGATCCGGAGTTCTGGGGAGTGGGAGAGGAGGTTCCACCAAAAGACTTTGAAGCAGAGGAAACCAAGGTCTTCGAGGCCAATAAGGTGCAATCAGGATGAGAGACACCTGCTCTGTTCTCATCTTCCTCAGGAGCGGGAGAATTAGTGGAAATGGGGGAAAAGCATAGCCCATCCTGAACCTCCAGGGGCTTGATAAAGCATCCCTCCCCAGTGCTAGGTGGTCGTCTTCTTTCGTGAAGAAAAGCTTTACTTTCCTGTTGGCCCGAGTGGCTAGAAGGTCTACTTGAGGGAGACCCCATTTGTCCACAATCAAGCGGAATACTCTGTCCGAGAGGCACCATTCCCCCGGATCTATCCTGGATCTGCTGAGAAAATCCGCCAGATGATTCCGTTTCCCTGGTAGATGGATGGCAGTAAGGCCCGCCAGGTTTCTCTGAGTCCACCACATCAGGTGATTCATGATTTCCATCATCTTGCAGCTCCTGGTACCCCCTTGGTGATTGACATAGGATACCACAGTGGAGTTGTCCGTCCTTATCTTCACCCATTGCCCCTTGAGATGATTCGAGAAGTGTTTCAATGCTTTGAGGACAGCCAGAAGCTCTAGGCAATTGGAATGAACATTGTTTGCCCTGAAACTCCATTCTTCCTGCGCAAAGTCGTGGAGACAATGAGCGCCCCATCCCCATTGGCTGGCATCCGTTGTCACAGTTATCCACGCGATATCTCCTAGTGGAAAACCCTTTGATAGGTGCTCCCTGTTTAGCCACCAGATTAGAGAATGGCGTACATTCAGGGAAAGTTTGATGGGTTGGCGCAGGTTCCCGGAGGAGAACTGTCTCAGGAAATTGGCTTGGAATGGTCTCATTCTCCACTGTGCCCATCTGGTCAGTCCTATTGTGGAGGACATGGAACCCAGGAGGCTCATTATGGCCTTTGCCGGGGCCACCCTGGATATCAGCATTCTTTTCAATAACATCTTGAGTTTCTGTATTCTTGCTGATGAAAGTTGGACAGTGCCCTTTAGAGTGTCGAAGTGAGCTCCTAAGTAAACCATTCTGGATCCTGAGCGAGAATCCATCTATAAGGAATAGATGGAACAGCGAAACTAATACCAAGAAGAAATATATATAAAAATATAAGAAATAAAATAGGAGAAAAACTTACTTCGATGCTTGAGAAGGAAAAAGGAACCTGGAAAGGCAAAGAACCAACAGAATGGTGCAGAAAAAAACTTTCCTGGAGGAAGAAACTCAACCTACCCCGAAAAAGGAGGTCTGGCGCTTTAAGAAGGGCATCTGACGTCATCGCGCATGCGCGAATTAGCGAGAAAACGCGCGAACGGCCCAAATGAATGGATTTTGCGCGCGAACGTGCTAATTCGTTAATCGCGTTCGCGCTTATTCAAACACAGCCGCGCGAACGCTCAGAAACAACCGGACGCTGCGCATGCGTCCGGGAGCCCACGAATGCCGAGCAGGCGCCCATGAGACTCCCGAACGCCGCGCAGGCGCACAGAAATTTCCTGAACGCCACGCAGGCGCCCTGGAACTCCCGAACGCCGCATAGGAGCTCCCAAACGCCGCGCAGACACTGCAGCTTCTGAGGGGGAACCCCAGCACAGAGAGATTACAGTTTCAATTACCTCTGTATCTTCAGAAGAATAATCTTACAGGTAGGAACCAATTCATGGAGTCATTACCTTGATTCTGGGAGGGAAAATCCAAGTGCGGAAACCAGCCATAATTCCATGCTATTCCACTTGCATTATTGCAAGAATTACAGGAAGGTAAAACCCCCGGTCACTAAAGGGGTTTTCTCCAGGGGGACACCTTTGCGCAGGGCCGTATACTGGAGACTTCCCAGGGGAGAGAGGGTGAACTCCCCAGGGGCTAGAGGAACTAATCCTCAGGTAAGCCATAAAGAAAATCTAATAGTCTGAAAAAGACCGACATGTCCTAGGGATAGGACAGGAAAAAAAGACTGGGGAAGGAGGGGTAGGAGGTGGTACTTATACGGCTTAATAATTATTCCTGTCCAATGGGGATAGGGAGGAGCTACCCAATGTTGTGCTGCCATGGATATGGCCAGGAAAAATAAATACATACAACTGGCAACTTAAAAATTATTTGCAAAGACAATAAATGTAAGCAGCCAAGGCATGCAATATGCAAAAATGCTAAATAATGTGTATACATATTTGCTGCATTTTCTTCAGAAGTAAATCCACTTGTGGTTTTGTTTGAATACTAAAAAGGTCAGTACAGAAAGGCCTAAATCTAAACTCCAAGTCAAAATATGATATGGCGATCGAAGTGATCATTCCAACAAACATTAGAAAGGCATTTTAAACCCAATTAAAAACTTTATAGAATAAGTGAGGAGTATCAGTCAGTGTATATAATAATTACTTTTAATATTAACATCCTTTAATATGTTCTGCCAGAGAGGACTATTGTGCAATATTATTTAATTTATCTCAAGACTTTGGTTTATTAAATCAGCTCAGCTAAGGAAAGTGACCCATAATCCTGAGACCCATCAATTATACTTGTGCTTTACAAAATCTGTCTGACAGCTCTATATTGCAGAGTTATATTATCATCAGGATTTACGTGAAATAAAATGGGCAGACACTAACGGGTTGCAGATTTCTAAATACAGTATTTGACCTTCTTTCTCCTACTCAGCCCAATTTAGTATAAGGATCATGATGGCAGCCCACTCCTGCCCTATGGCTGCCACAGTGACTGGGCAGGATGTGACCCCTGGCATTCACTCACTTCACGGGGTTTGTCCAGGATGGAGGCGGCAGCTGAGCACAGGCTTTCAGCGAAGCCCTCGGGGAGGTCTTTCTCGGGGAAGCTGGTGTCTAGCTCCAGAAACGGCATGTCTGCCTTGATTGCAAGCTCTGCCGACAATTGACACGGCGCTGGACTGCACAGGACAGGATGAGAGTTGCTGATTGGCTGAGCACATGTACGCCCCATTCATTCTCTTTGCTCTGGCACGCTTCCTTTTTAACTAGTTCGGGTAGTGAGTCAGGGAGCAGCTGTGACTTTGGGGTTTAATGAAGTTAAAGTAACATGGGTGGAAACATAGCTGAGCTGGGGAACTTTCACAGTTCCTCTGTTTTATCCTGGAATTTGCAATCCCCTAAAAATTCCACTACTCCTGGTTTAGTGAATAAACCTCATTAAATAAATGGACATCATGTCTGTCTATAAATATGAAAACTGCTATAGTTAAAATAAAATAAATAAATGTCCAAGGAGTAAAAAAACACTCGAGTGGGGGCGTGGCCTGACTGTGCAGCAGCGCAGACGCACAAACCGAGAGCTCCTGGGCCTAAGATCAATTAATGGCTAAAATCGGGGCAAACTCAATAATCCTGATCCCCAATTCACCACAACTTGATCTGCAGACATTGGTGAACAGGGGGATACCTCACATGCCCAGAAATAACGCCGGAATGACCAAGCTGAGGCTTGGGGCCTATACCAAGCAGGGCAATGGAGAGGCGACCGCTCTCCCAGCCCATAACCGCATGCAGCACCCGCAGCAAATGGCTACCCCCCCCCCCCTTGGGACCGGTGGGGGTTATCCTGGTCCCAATCACCTAGACGGGCAAGCCCCAGTGGACCCTAAAAGCGGACACCGACCCCATCCACGCACGAACTTGCAAGCAGCCCACCATATCAAAATGGCAGACACACAGCCTCGAGGACAACCTGGGCCTTCACCACTAAGCCCCAACACAAGCGACTCCCTCACTACCCGCCTAGACGGGCTGTTTGAGGCCTTCTGGGCAAAGATCGCAGCCCGACATAAGGAAGAGCGATCCAAGCTGCTAGAGATCGGAGGTACGGAGGGCCAACAAGGCGACACAGTTTGGAGTGGGACCAGACTGCCTTTGGGCGAAGCCATGAAAACTCAGTCCAAGAATCTCCACACCAGCCCATCTGGGCCCAGGGCCAACATGGGATTAACCCCGATGCATCGACCACGTAGGCAGAGATCCACCCGCCGACGGCGGCATACCACCAACCCCAGGATCTCCAGACCTACCCCGAAAGGGAAGGACTGGGCCTTCAATAGTCCCAGAGTCCGTGGCTACAAGATGCCGGCCCTGCTACAGGCCCGGAGCGAGAAGGCACCTCTGGTTAGCTCCTGGCCGACCGCCAACCTCTACACTACCCCACGCAAGCTCCAGAGGGCACAGCAGCACGCACCCGTGGCGAAAGCTCTACCAGCGCGCAAGCAACAGAGCCCAAAGAAGCCACCAGCAGCACGGAGGTGGGAAATATCAAAGGACAAACCTCAGCCCTGCATCAAACCTTGCAAGCCGTGGAGAGTCGGGTCCCTGACCACAAATCAGCACAGCCTCAAACCTGGGACACAAACTGGTAACAACGTACCCTTCCTAACCAGCGTCTGGAAACACCATAGCAGGATAGCAGAGCAGCTGGATTCCGGTAAACGACCGCTAAGCGGCATCGGTTGACTGAGCCTGGCACTACCAAGCACCAAGCAGCGCAGAGCCTGGGCCTCTTTTATCATATATTTTTTCTTTTTTCGCTTCTCAAATTTATATTGGCCCACTGCTGATTGACTCTGAGTTGCATGACTGCGCTGCCTTCTTCTGATTATAATTATTGTTTTTATTTGAATTGTCTAGGCCTCACATAAATATCCAGTGACTGCCATACGCCCGCTGGGAACGTGTTTTTAGCTAACTGGGGGGCCCCCTAGGGGTTAAACTCGTAGAAAAGACATCTGTTTCACTCTCCTTGTAAAATACTCATGCCACAGAAATCCCTGGTTTAAGCTTGTATATTCTACCTTTTATTAACATAGGGTTTCTAGCCTGTATTTTTCTAAGTCTTACAATACAATCTATAATTGAAGATTATATTAGCTTTAGTGTACTAATAATCTTAATTTTAGTAATGACAATAGGCGAATATTTGCATATCTTTCTTTACTGAAAACTCCAGCAGCATAGAAACATAACAACCAATCAGAAAAAAGTTATGATGCCCATAAAAGGCCCTGTCTATGACATCACTTCCTCTTTCTTTGAAGCGAAACAATAAATAACAACAAGAGACATAATCATATTACGTCATTAGTTCAACAACATATTAGAATATCCAACTCCATTAGTTCCGCGATGCAGAGGTATGGAAGGTGAATCTTTGTCTTGTGGGGATATTTATGGGATAATAATAGTAACAGTTGAGAATTGCCCACTAATTCAATTCTCAGATCCCAAAGAACGTTTATCGTGTTAAGTGAGAAGTATATCATATAATTAATATCACAATGTATAAAAATAGATTTTATTTATATGACAAATTAATTAATAATAATATTATGCAACATGCATGACAATAATCAATGAATATTCAGTATAAAATGGTATGCAATACAAAGAAATGGGTATTACGTTTCAATGGCTAAATAGCATTATCTGTCAAGACTTCTACGATTTATGACTAGCTTTCACAGACTGAAAGTAAAACTTTTCACAGAAGAACAGAATTCCTCAGAATGCAGCGTAAGGTCGTAAAGTTTAGCAGACAGTTAGAATAACCCTTTCAATGCTGGCTAGATCTCCTAGGTAGTTAAGATCTATTCTTATGTAATTTTTAAATAAAATAACATTTAACCCAGTTCATAGTCATTTTCTGAAAACCATCCAATAAGAGAATCTAATATATTATATAAGCAGATTTTTAATTTGTCTAAAAGATATCTATCTTAATTTAGAGCAAATCAATACACCTGGATAAAAACAGCGGTATGCTAACACGTGATAATATCACATCAATATATAATTATTCTTAATTCCACCTGCAGAATGGAATGTTTATAACTATATATTCTTTAGTTAACTAAGATTTCTTAATATGGAAATCTGACCGTGCTTTATCCAGTCATATATAATGCTATTAATACATTTTAATTAATTTAATTAATTAAATGAAACCAGTATAATTACCAGTTGAGTAGATATTTCATCCGATTGGTAGTCTCTCTGCATGGAGGTGTTGGTTAGAAAGTCAGTAAATTCTAAGTGTTAGAGTTTTAGGAGTAGAGTGTTAGTCTCAGATGTTGTCCGAGTTGGAGTCCCCAAACTTCCAATTCCTCTCTCCTCTCCTTTGCATATCTTGCATCTGCCTCTCTCGTATCTCTCTATCTTCCCTTTGTCTTAACTTTTAAAGGGCCAGACTCTCTGTACGTCATCAGTTGATAACCCAATAGAAGCACTAGAGGTGTGGTTATCTTCCAGATCGCAAATTAGTTATTTGGTCTATAGAGGGCAGTCTTGTCCCACTAAACATACCTATCCAGGAAAGAGTTAACTTTTCCTGGTGGCTATTTTGACGTCATTTTGCGTTATCTTTATAGCGCCATAATTTAAAATTTCAAAGGATTTCTTAAATTTTGTCCAGACTTAGCGTCTGCAATTCCTGCCATAATTTCTGATATGACAGATCATGAACTAAGTTTACCCTTTTCCATACAATGGTACCTTATATATATAGACAGTTAAATATTAAATAATTTAATCTTCTCTGTCACAATTGTCTGGGTTTAGATTTGATTATATTCTTTTAGCATTAGACAGTCTGTCCAACCCCCTTCCTTATCACTTGGCTTGTATATACTATGCATTCCTCAGCTCTGGCAAAGAGGCCAGTCTTACAGAAAGAAATCTAGTGTCTTATTTGTTAACTTGAAATAACAAAATGGAGTCTGGTCTGTTCAGAGTGACTCAGAATATACACTTTTAGTTTCTATCTTAGCACAAAATGTCTGCCGATATAAATACCCTGACATAACCCCCCTTTAGTGCATTTCATAGCCAAAATTAATTTAGCTTATGAATAAGCACTATAGAAGTTACCAGACATATTGTGCAATCACATCATTTCTAACATAGTACATTGTTTTCATTTGAAAAATGTCTTTGGGAGTTACATATGGTATGGCCAATAAAACGCAAATCTCCATACGTTCCGGATCAATTAAGAGAGGTATAGCGCTCCCCATCTCAAAGGCCAGATTTAGTTGCATAGGCTCAATTGTCTCTCCATCCACATTGGCAAGCATCGCATGAACAATATCCTTGGATATAAAATACAGAGGTATGCGTCCCCCTGCCAATTCGATCATTCCAGTTTGCACTTCGTCGAGAAAAGCAAGTGTGTGGAACAATATTGGGTCATGCAGAAATAGAAGTTCACGCTTAAATAAGTCATGACTTTGGTGCAACTCAGTGGATTTGGCAATTAACTCTGAATGCAAATTTGTTGTAACAACTGTGTCTTCCACAATAGTTAACACGTCTTGGAGAAGTGTTCTTTGCTGTTGTATCACCTGATGAATATCGTTAATGTGTTGCTTTAGCGCATAGATTTCCATATCCAGCTTTTGGACAGTAATAGAGTTGGCTGCAGACATTCCAGTTGCGACAACTGCACCGACAGTGGCACAAACTAATGCAACAATTATAGCGGTGAGGAACCTTTTGGGTCGGTTGCTCATCGGAATAGAACTGGATACAAATGGTTTCCGGGCTTGCTCCAAGATGTTTCGCACACGGTCCTGTGCTCTTTGGAGGTGCATCTGGTACCAAGTCTGTAACTCAGGAAGCTGCATCGATGAAATGTTGTATGCCTTCTCGATGGAAATCTTGGGGTCCAAGCTGACAAACACACGTCTGGTCAGGATCCTCTTCTCCGTTAAGATGAACCCTGGTGTCTCTTGAATCAGGATGCCGGAGGATGGTCCCATCTCTGCGATCGGGTCGGTCCGTAGCTCTTGGCACAGGAGCAGTACGATCCAGAAACACGCCACATCCTTCTTGGCCATCTTTCGACAGTCACGGATCAGGAACTCGTTTCAGACTTATCTACTAATGATTCAAGGTTTGTTAAGCATACAAACTTATAACAGTGTGACATCACTTGGCCTAGGACAACACATTATTACGATTCATCAACATATGTATTCTGTCTAATTCTATTTTTATAACTTCATCCCTCACTACATTTATTACTGACTCTTCAGCAATTTGCCTATAGCAGTTAAACAAGCTAGTAACCTGCTTATAAAATGTAGTTATTGGATGGCAAGGAAATGGCTAATGACATGAACGTACATGAGATCATGGCACATCACAACATTTCACATCATACTATACCACGTGAATCAAGCATTCATCCAGGTTAGTCGTTCATCTTTCTGCGTCTGAATCCACACCTATAATCCTTAATTGAGATTTAGGATGACAAGCACGCAACTGGTTAATGTGAACCCACTTTTCAATAAAATCACCATCCTTAGGAATTTTTATCTTGTACGCTACAGGGGAAATTTTGTCCATAATGACATATGGCCCTTTCCAAGAAGGTAAGAATTTCTTTTCCTTAACTTGATTTCGCGCAAAGTTATACAGATAGACTTGATCTGTTATCTCATATTCCTTTTTCGTGGTTTTTAAATCGTAATAGGTCTTAACCCCTGTCGCTGCTTTTTCTAGATTCTTTTGGGCAAAAGCAAATGCATGCTGTAAATGCTTGCGCAAATCTTCGATATACTGATGCGTAGTGGCAGCATTGATCAAGTTATGATCCGAAGTACGATATAGTAAATGCTGTGGTAAAACCATCTTTCTTCCTGTCATCAATTCAAAAGGTGACAATTTGGTAGCAGTGCTAGGTGTAGCTCTAATCGCCATTAAAACTAGGGGCAATTTAATGTCCCAGTCTTTACCAGACTCCTTAACATATTTCTTCAGAATATTAACGATAGACTGGTTATATCGCTCTACCCCCCCGCTAGACGCAGCGCGGTATGCAATATGTAGCTTTCGTTTAACACCTAGAATGTTCCACATCTTAGCCATTACTTCGCTGGTAAAATGACTACCTCTGTCTGACTCAATTCTTTGAGGCAGACCGAACCTGGAAAAGACATGGTTAATCAACAAAGTGGCGCACACGGTACTCGTGTTCTCTTTACAAGGCAAACATTCTATCCACTTTGTGTACATACATGTAACGGTTAACATGTATTTGTTACCTCTTGAAGATCTTGTTACAGGACCTATAAAGTCAATTTGAATATCAGACCAGGGTAATGACACCTCGTTGGAGCAACCGTCAGCTAAAGATATTTGCTCTTCTAGCCTTTCCTGAAATCCTGGAAAGATTTCAGGCTGGCCTATCTCATAAGCTTCTTCAAGCCTAGAAGTTAGGTCAGTTCGGTGTTGACTTACCTTTTCTCTTTGGTCGTGATACTCTTGTGATTCCTGCTCATTGAGCGGATGATCGAAGGTGATAGATGCTTCTTCGATTTTACACGAGCCTTCTTCAACATTGAAGGGATACACAGATAGGATAGTGAATAATCCTTCTGGGGAGGAATGGAATATTTGATCGACAATTTCGTCCTCAGTTAAGTATTCTTCAGGGATGAGGCCTATAATTTGGTTTTGGAAACCAAATGTATAGTACTCAGCATCCAATGCTAGACCTAATAATGTTCCTTTTGGTAAAGTAACACTATTGGGTGTAACATTGTTGACCATGATATAGGTGGGATTCTTACCAATACTTACCATTGGTGTATGTGTTACCACCATCCCTAATTGTTGTATCCTGTTGGATAAACAGATTAGGGCATCAGAGTTTTCCAATCTCTGACCCTCCTTGACCTGTAGGGGTAAAAGAAAATTACTTGTCCCCTGTGGAATGGTTATGTAATCAGGAATTTGGATACTTACCGCATATGGGAGTATTTGTCCTGATTTCAGGGCGTTTTCCTCGTGTAGGTATCCACAAGGATTACCTTTTAACCTTGTCCACAAGTTGGAATTAATCAGGTCAAGGTGTATGGCAAAGCGATGTATGACATCATTGCCAACGTAAACCTGATAGCGAGGTTCGTCTATCACTAGGAATAAATGTTTAACGGTCTTATTTCCGATGGAAATAGATAGTAAACATTTTGCTATCACATTGTGACTCTCTGATTCGCCATCCAGATTCTGGATCCACCTGTCATGTGGGGAAGCGTACCTGATCATTTTAGGATTAGCTATCTGCTTTAACAGACTTCTGCTAATATAGCTGTTCTCACTCTGTAAGTCCAGCTTTGCATTCCTACTTCTTCCTAAGTCATTTATTTGCATAGGAAAGAATAGGTTGTTATTATATATGAAATATAATTTCAACTTAAACGATCTCAGCACCGTGCCTCCAATATGTTGGATAATTATGGGATAATAATAGTAACAGTTGAGAATTGCCCACTAATTCAATTCTCAGATCCCAAAGAACGTTTATCGTGTTAAGTGAGAAGTATATCATATAATTAATATCACAATGTATAAAAATAGATTTTATTTATATGACAAATTAATTAATAATAATATTATGCAACATGCATGACAATAATCAATGAATATTCAGTATAAAATGGTATGCAATACAAAGAAATGGGTATTACGTTTCAATGGCTAAATAGTATTATCTGTCAAGACTTCTACGATTTATGACTAGCTTTCACAGACTGAAAGTAAAACTTTTCACAGAAGAACAGAATTCCTCAGAATGCAGCGTAAGGTCGTAAAGTTTAGCAGACAGTTAGAATAACCCTTTCAATGCTGGCTAGATCTCCTAGGTAGTTAAGATCTATTCTTATGTAATTTTTAAATAAAATAACATTTAACCCAGTTCATAGTCATTTTCTGAAAACCATCCAATAAGAGAATTTAATATATTATATAAGCAGATTTTTAATTTGTCTAAAAGATATCTATCTTAATTTAGAGCAAATCAATACACCTGGATAAAAACAGCGGTATGCTAACACGTGATAATATCACATCAATATATAATTATTCTTAATTCCACCTGCAGAATGGAATGTTTATAACTATATATTCTTAGTTAACTAAGATTTCTTAATATGGAAATCTGACCGTGCTTTATCCAGTCATATATAATGCTATTAATACATTTTAATTAATTTAATTTAATTAAATGAAACCAGTATAATTACCAGTTGAGTAGATATTTCATCCGATTGGTAGTCTCTCTGCATGGAGGTGTTGGTTAGAAAGTCAGTAAATTCTAAGTGTTAGAGTTTTAGGAGTAGAGTGTTAGTCTCAGATGTTGTCCGAGTTGGAGTCCCCAAACTTCCAATTCCTCTCTCCTCTCCTTTGCATATCTTGCATCTGCCTCCTCTCGTATCTCTCTATCTTCCATTTGTCTTAACTTTTAAAGGGCCAGACTCTCAGTACGTCATCAGTTGATAACCCAATAGAAGCACTAGAGGTGTGGTTATCTTCCAGATCGCAAATTAGTTATTTGGTCTATAGAGGGCAGTCTTGTCCCACTAAACATACCTATCCAGGAAAGAGTTAACTTTTCCTGGTGGCTATTTTGACGTCATTTTGCGTTATCTTTATAGCGCCATAATTTAAAATTTCAAAGGATTTCTTAAATTTTGTCCAGACTTAGCGTCTGCAATTCCTGCCATAATTTCTGATATGACAGATCATGAACTAAGTTTACCCTTTTCCATACAATGGTACCTTATATATATAGACAGTTAAATATTAAATTATTTAATCTTCTCTGTCACAATTGTCTGGGTTTAGATTTGATTATATTCTTTTAGCATTAGACAGTCTGTCCAACCCCCTTCCTTATCACTTGGCTTGTATATACTATGCATTCCTCAGCTCTGGCAAAGAGGCCAGTCTTACAGAAAGAAATCTAGTGTCTTCTTTGTTAACTTGAAATAACAAAATGGAGTCTGGTCTGTTCAGAGTGACTCAGAATATACACTTTTAGTTTCTATCTTAGCACAAAATGTCTGCCGATATAAATACCCTGACAGTCTCGATGAGAAGACGTTCACGCTGCAAGAAAAAGAAAAAGGTGAAAGGTATCTGGCGTGATAACTTGTCCGCATACAATAAGCATAAGCATCTGATATACCAACGAACATTAGAATGTGAAACATATCAATATATATTTATTCTAACGCAATGATATTTAAGGATCTATAAACACAACATAATGCAAGGTTCATGTCTAATATTCAGCCAATACAAGACCCAGCAAGGTACAGGTCTAAGTAGCAAACATACAAACCATACGTACTTACCTTCCTGAACATAAAGGACATATTCTGTTCAACACGAGAAACATGGGAGGGATCCTATAGGGTGGGAAATATTCGCCTCCTGTCATTACTAAAATTAAGATTATTAGTACACTAAAGCTAATATAATCTTCAATTTTACCACATGACAGGAGGCTTCATATTTGCATTTTTAAAGCTTTGAATTGACCAATGTGAAGGAAGCATGAGATGTTTGCCGAAAATAGAATGTTCTAAACGTACTCTCTCGCGCTCAGTCCGCGCAGCGTATAATGTCGGCTAGGGAAGCGTCGGCCGAAAAGGTTTGTGAGGCCGCCGCTCCCCTGACCGAGTGGGCTCCGAAACAAGGTTCGACGCTAAAGACAAAAACCAGCGGACCCATCTGGCCAGTGTTGCGGTAGACACCGGTCCATGAGGGTTCACGTAAGAAGTCAGAAGGTGATCCGTCGAATGAGTTCGAAGGGGGTAGAGATATTGGTGTACCCCATTAGCGTTCTGACCACGCATAGTGTGGCGTCTGACACAAAGCATGGGTATGACACTGAAGACGAATCAGACTTAGTTCGTCTCGACATGGTAAAGGTAACCCCATCTGGTGTGAGAGAGAAACCATCCATATCGCAAGCCCTAACGTCCGCCACCATCTAAATGAGGCGAGGCATAATAAGAGGGCTAGTTTGGCTGAAAGTTGCTTCAGTGACAAACAAGGATTGTCCGGCCATTCCCTAAGGAATCTCAGCACCACATCCACCTGCCAGAGGCGTGAATATATGGGTGCAGGGATCTCGACAATTCGGCACCCCGCAGTAGTCGACAAACCAGTGTATCTTGACCTACTGGTCTGCCCTGTACCGGAACGTGCGCCGCCGATATGGCGGATCTGATCACGTTGAGGGATCGATATGACCAACCCAACGAGACCAGGTGTGACAGATAGTTGAGTATCAGTGGGACAGGTGCGGTAAAGGGATCGGAATCCCTTTCCACACACCAATCACTCCAGGCCGACCAGGCAGAAATATAGCCTTTCCTGGTGCCGGGAGCCTATGAGTCCCATAGGAGGTCTTAGTTGATGCAATAGGTCGTGAACTGACCAGGAGCCCCTGAAGCCGTCCAGGCAACTAGTGCCAGTTGTCCTTCCATGACAAGGGAGTGGGCTTCCCCTCGAGGTCCCGTCAGAAGTAGAGGGAAGGTAGGGAGTTGTAGAGGGTCTTCGCGAGACATCTCCAGGCGATCCGGGAAATCACGGTTGGCCCTGCCCGAGGGGTGTCATGAGCAGGAGCGATATCTTGTGGGTGTGTGTGTGTATCGAAGCACCCTTGCTATTGTGGAGAACGGCTGGGTCGCGTTTGCAGGGGTTCATCCATCGCCCCGTATCCGAAGGAAGAGTCAAAGGTCGTTTTGCCAATCCAAGTTTGTATGTGAAGTAATCACCATCGAAATTCCATCCTCACTTCCGCTGACAGTGGGATCCAGTGGTCGTATGAGTGACCGGTGCGTACGTATCTCACCATCAGTCGTAGTGGGCCAGGGAATAACGCTTGTATGGAGGAGGAGAGGAATCCCACAATCCGGCAGCTATCCTTATAGAGGCGCTCTTTGCCGTAAACAGACGCGGAACGTAGTTCTCCAGGCCGATGTCGAAACCGAGGAACTGGCCCGATTCAGATGGGGAAGCGATCTTTGTCTGTGTACAACAAAAAACACATGGAGTCCTGAAAGTGAACGACAAATTTGTCTGCAAACGTAGCCTGGATTCGTAAAGAATCAGCAAGTCTTCCAGGTATAAGAGGCATCGCACGCCCAAATTTACGGATGTGTGCCCTCACTGGTTACAGTAGGTTCGCGAGCACCACGGAGTCGTAAACTGCCGTGTTTGTCCTCACCATTGGAATCGGAGGAAAACTTCGGCAGTACTGACAAGCGTGCGTCCTTGAGGTCCAGATGTGTAAACCAGTCGTTATCGCCTAGGAGGTCTTGTAGAAGACGAATTTCCTCCATCTTGCAGCATTTGTATACCATGTAGGAGTTCCATTGATGTAGTCTCCTGGCTTCTTCTTGACCAGGAAAAATTTGCTGGGGAAGCCTTCCCCTCCGGTGCATGTTGAATTGCGCCCCTCCTGAAGAGGGTGCAGATTTTCTTGTCCACGAGGCGTTCCTGTTCCGCCAGCGTGCGTAATGGAGGTGAAGGGGCGACCTGCACGGCTGTGATAAAACTCTATGACATAGCCTTGTACTGTCTGGAAAACCCAGGTGACTTTGGTAGTCGTCTCCCAATTCTGTAAAACAGAGACAGGTTGCCGGTCATAATATTGGAAACAGTTAGTTATGTAGGTTGACACACTAGTAGATGAAGCGGATGGGTTCCTTTGTGTAGTAGATGGGAGAAATATGAGGACTGTGTATTCGATCTGGAACCTGTCATCCAGGAGCGGCTGGTGGCTCGGTTCAGCTACCGACCAGTCCTCCCAGAAACACCTTTCCCCGTAGGGTTGTGGAAGACTTGTTTTAGCGAGGTCTGGGTTTAATTTAGTGTGGTGAATAAATTCACGTGTTTCTTGAGTACTGCAATGAACACTACGTCGAATAGTAGGCCTTGTGCTTTTGGGCCGAATTCTTGTTGTTCCTAAGCCCAATAGTGTGTTGTCGATGCGGCCCAGTACAGATTTGCGTCTGTCGGCGCATAGTGCGTCATTTACGTTGCCCAGGAGGCATATCGAGCATTGAGACCATTCTTTGGAGGTGGTAGGGTTGAGTTGTGTACCCTGGGGTAACTCGGTCTTGAGGCGTGCGCATCCTTCCATCCCCCGAGGGTTGCGCAGCCAATAGTGTTCGTCCAGGAACGTTCCGTCTTCGGCTACTCTGGTTTAGTGCCGCTACAGTTATCTCTGCCTCAGCCGCCGTCACAGAGTAAGGTTTCCCTAACGTACTTCGAGGAAGTGTGGGGAAGGTCTTGCCGTTCCATTTCCTCAGACGGTGAGCTGTCTTCGTGTCGCTCATCTACCATGTCCAAAGTACGTGGTGGGTAATAGTCTTCTTTGTCGGAAGATTGTGGCGGACGAGGTTTGGATTCCCTGTGCTCCGCCTATTTGGTCTGATCGATGGGCGTCTTGCCCTTGACCTTAGCGGCAGGGGGGCTGGAGCCCTTCCCTTGCCGTTTTGACTTGAAGGCTTGTGGGCCTGAGGTCTCCATCAAGCGGTGTGGGGTAGAGTTCATAACAGAACCCTCTCCACTGAGGCCGTTACTGTGGCGTTTAGCATTGCCTAGAAATCTTGGGAACGTTGAGAGTGTCCACCATGACTCGTTCCCGTCCTGTTGGGAGATAGTGTGAGGGTCAGCACGTAGGGGTGTTAGACTCCTGGTAGAACTGGGGATCACCCAGGTAAAACGGTTTGAATTGCCTGCTTTAGTATGTCTGAGAGTATGAATACTCGTGCCAAGTATAGAGGGGTCACCTCTATTAGTTTTAATCTGGCTACTGAGAGCCGTGGTGCAGGCGCGACTGACTGGTAGTGGTGTCGGTCTGGCTAGCCGGGTTCACCACAAATGTACGCCAGAGCTGTATGCACGGTTTTTAACTATACAGGCTTATTATATATAGGCGCATGGGGCCTGTCTCCATAAGGTCTGCGGCCGCAGGACCCATGTCTATTAGGCTGGGTTCATCCCAGGTGGTGTGCCATGGTAACCCAGAGGACACCCATATTATAATTATTATTATTGGCACCTTACAAGCATTGCATGCATATCTGGGGGTCATCCCAGGTGGTGTGCCATGAAAAATTACAGAGGACACCCATGTTCAATATGTACACTAGGCACAGTAAATATACATATATGTATCCCTGTGAAGGGTACACCGCAATACACTCAGTTTTCTTAGTGATCCTGCCGTCAAATCGCATCCGGCATGGTACTGTTGCTTTAATGTAAAACTGACAGGCAGTGTTTAAACATCCATATATGTCTGTAGTAATCAGTGGTAAAGTTGCGGCGTAGGTCTCTGTGCATATGATCGGGGTTCACCCCGGGTGGTGTGCCATGGTAACCCAGAGGACACCCACATCAAAGGTAATGGTCTGTCAGTGCATATCTGGGGGGTCACCCCAGGTGGTGTGCCATGAAAAAATACCCAGAGGACACCCACATAAATTTGCACCATCAGGTACAGTAATATAATATGACCCTCTGTAGGGTACAATAATATAATATAATTTGCCCTTTGTAGGGTACAGTAACACAATATGCCCTTCGTAGGGTACAGTGATATAGTTGATCTTGTTATAGGTACAGTATATGTTTTTTATAACGACTGTGATCTTGTATGGCTTCACAATAATACATAGATTGTGTGCCTGCTCAACATATAATCATCCAGTGTAAGGCACCATGAGAGATATATCCATGAGAATAAAAAATAATAATTGTATCAATAAATGAATGTGCCCAGAGAGGGGGACCCCTGAAGGGGTTAATCCAGATGCAGGGCGCGGTGATTGGGTGATTCCTGTAGGATATAGTAATATAGTATGACCCTGTGCAGGGTATTGTAATATGGTATGACCCTGTATAGGGTATAGACCCTGAGTAAGGTACAAAGACATAATCTCCTTTAATGCCTGCATGTAAGTATTTGTTTGGCAGACACTGTTGGCAGGCACTGTGGCAAAATACATTGAAAGAATACATGGAGAAAAAACTGAAATCCAGCTTGCACTCTCCCATTGTTCACTTGGGAGAGCATACACTGTGGAGCCCGGCGGTCGGGTGAGTTCCCGATCCGCCGAGTGAGCGGGGAAGGCGGCCGTCGGGTATCTCGCGAGCCGCAAGATCCAAGATGGCCGCCGCCTACATGTGAAGGTGCGCCGCGGATCGCGGTGCAAAACAAAGGGGATAAATGCAACACAAACACTGACCCCAGCCTCCCTCCACCCGTCCCCATACAGTCCCCTGTGGATACCAGGCAGTAAGGTGGAAATAAAAAGGGAAAAAAAAAAAACAGAGGGATACAGTGAAGGGACAGGAATAAGGGGGGCCAAGGTAGCAGGTGTTAGCAATAAATAGAGTAATATATAGTGGTATGACAATCAAAAAACAGTGTGAATTAAGAATCTACCAGAGAGGTAAAATACTCTGACCTTTGTATGGCTGGAGCAGCAAAGAAAGAGGAAGTGATGTCATAGACAGGGCCTTTTATGGGCATCATAACTTTTTTCTGATTGGTTGTTACTGTTTCTATGCTGCTGGAGTTTTCAGTAAAGAAAGATATGCAAATATGAAGCCTCCTGTCATGTGGTAAAATTGAAGATTATGCTAGCTTTAGTGTACAGATAATCTTAATTTTAATAATGACAGGAGGCGAGTATTTTGCATAATCTTTCTTTACTATCTCCATAGCAGCAAAGAAATGAGTGACAAAACTTTTAACCAATCACAACGTAGAATAGGGTATAAGAGGTGAGACCTATGACATCATTTCCTCTTTTAAACTTGCGACATCACAAGACCATAAAAGTAGAAAAAATTAACCGAACAGCTGAGAAGTCCATAGAACAAGAAACTGGAAACTTAATCAGAATAAACTGAATCGGAACAGGTAGAATGCAGATGAAGACGTGTCCTTGTCAAACGATGGTCTACGAAGACCTGATGATGAATCTCCTGATGCGATGATGACGACATCTTGCAAGGAGACTTTAATGATTCCGTGTAGCTCCTGGTTAAGCTGAAACGAGAGTATAAGGTGCGTTAGAGTCCAGAAGTGATTGTATAAAACAAAGGATGTCTGTCCCGTAATTCAACTTTAATATCGTCTAGTAACATGAGAATAAAATAAACTAAACGTCCTCCCTAGCGGTGTTAAATAAGTATCCCACCCAAACAATATAAATATATATATCTCTATGATGTAAATAAGGCAGTTAAACAAGAGCTATCGTGTCAGGTATTATACCAACATATGAGAGAGCAAAGTGTAGTAGGTAGAAGTGAAAATAAAAGGGAGGGAAGAACGAAAGAGAACAGGGAGGGAAAATACTCGCCTCCTGTCATTATTAAAATTAAGATTATCTGTACACTAAAGCTAGCATAATCTTCAATTTTATCACATGACAGGAGGCTTCGTATTTTGCAATTTCAACGCTGAGAAAGAAAAGCAAATGCCGGATTATCAAGAGGACGAAAGTAGAATGTCCTAAAGGTAGATTCTCTGGTCCAGTCCGCTGCTCGTAAAATGTCCGAGAGGGACGCGCCTGCCGCATAAGCGGAAGAGGCCGCTGCCCCACGAACGGAGTGTGCTCCAAAAGTTTGGTCAATACCGGCAAGGGATAGTAGCCACCTGACCCATCTGGCCAGTGTAGTAACCGAGACCGGACCATAAGGGCGGACGTAAGAGATGAGAAGTTGATGAGTGGAAGGTTGCCGCAACGTCGCGGTGGCTTCCACGTAGTGACGGAGGGTTGAGACCACGCAGAGTTGAGGGTCAGAAGGGAAGAAAGGGTAGAAGACCGAGAGAGAGTTGGACTTAGTGCGACGTGAGATCTGAAAGGTGACACCCGCCGGACAGAAAGTAAACGCGTTGGCATCAAAGGCGCGTACGTCCGCTACCCGTCGAAAGGAAACCAGACAGAGCAGGAGGGTGAATTTTGCGGTAAGTTGGCGGAGTGATAGTTTTTCGTTGGGAGGCCAATTACGTAAAAATTGAAGGACCACGCCAACGTCCCAGAGACTAGAGACAGATGAGCGGGTCCTTACCAACAGGAATCCCCTGTATCGGAGTGTGAGCCGCTGAGATGGCTGACCGTACCACATTGATGGAACGGT